TAATTTTTGTTTTATACAATGCTAACTAAATTAGACTAATTGTATCATTTTTAAGATATTTATAACTTATAGTTTACAATTATCATTAAGTAAAGGCATACTGCAGAATAATTTTTGTTTTATACAATGCTAACTAAATTAGACTAATTCGATATGTCCAATATTACAAGACTTCCAAAATAATAAAATAAGGATTTAACCCGTATTGAAAGAACGGGTTAATGATATTTTAAAATTTTATTAATTTTAATTCAAACCCGTCCCGCCATATAAATCTGCCCCACCATATAATTTTGTCCCATAAAATAACCTGTCATGTGTTAGTTTAAAATATTGATATAATCAAATATTCGTAGTATTATAAAAAAATTATTAATTTTGAATATATAAATTATATTATTTCGTTTTTAAAAAAATATACAGATTTTTTGAATTTTGATTGTTAGTAGTATTAAAAGATTTCTTCAAATTCGTTGGTAAGAATATTTGTTTGGGCGATTTTGTGTTGATAATATAGGAGAATATATGGTAAGCGATTTTGAATTGAAAATTTTAATTTAAATTGAGTATAAATGATCATTGTCGAGATATTAAAAAAGATTGTCTCCAGATTTTTGGCAAACGAATTAGATTTATATATATTTAATTAGAGGGAATTGTTAAAATGGTCTATTTAACAATTCTAATTATAATAGTGGTACCATAAAAGGAAGTTTTTAGGAATAATACACGTTTAGGTGGAAATACAATGTAGCCCCTTCTTTTTCAAAATAATAACAAAAATGTCATTTGTTCTTACATTTTTACGTTAGCTATTAGTAACGTTAGCTAGTAATATACTTTAAATCCATGTAACAGATAGGATTCTACTTCTCCCTCTCATCTCGCTTTAACATGTTCTTGCCTTTCGGAGAAGGATCCGGCTTATGTCTGACGACTACTAGCTTTTACAATGGTGAATGGTCGGCTTCGCTTCTCGTCGAGTATCATCTGGCTTTTCTAAGCGGTGATTAGCCCCGCTTATGGTTTAGTTCCGGCGTATTCCGGTTTATTTATTCGTCTTTCCAGCTCTCGTTCTTAGTATGCGTAGACATAGTACAAACATATCACTAACAAGAATTAAACCCAAAAGAAACAGAAGTTGTTTTTATGGAAGAGACTCAGAAACTACGTCTCTGCAGTCTGCAGAGTGGAAGCAGTTTCGTAAAATATAAATTTCTCTATGACTTAATTTGGGCCTCATCGTTTTCTGACTATATGCTCGTTTGTTGAAACAATTCAAAACTGCTCTGGTCCCTGGCCTGAAAGGATGTGCGGGCTTAGGCCCAAAATCTCTTAGTAATTCAAAAAAAAAAAAAAGTCTCTTGCATTGTCTGTTGACTTTCAATTTAATCACGAACTTCCTTTCGTTTACAAAGCCAATTGAGGCACATCGTTAAATGTGCCTCTCTCTCACATGTAAAACGCTGATGTTTAAGCCAGAGAGCTGTTTCCGGAAAACCATCTTCTTCTTATTCCACGGGAGAAGATTACTATCAACAGACCGATACGTTAAATAGTAGTTCTGGCAGACCAAAGAAAAAGCTAAATTTAGCTGACATTGTCGATCAACATGTCCTATAAACTAAACTCTGCTACCTATCCGCGATCAAATTGCTTTAGCCTTGGCATTGCTTTGTTACTTTTTATTTCATGTATTTCTATATTAACTTATTATTTGCAGGCCCTAGGCGTTTAAAAAACATAAAACAAACTCTACAATATTAATGCAGAGTAACTGTTAGCCCAACTGCGGTGTTCAAGTTAACTTTCTAGAAGTAAGTATTCAAAGGACCGATAGTAAGTATTTATCCGACCGGCTGAACGATTTGTAGCAAACCACATTATAGAAGTAACTGTGGTCTGTTGTATCGTCGCATCTTTTATATACTGTATTTTTTAACATAGACATAACAAAGTGTATCTTTGGAGAAGTGTAACATAAACATAGACGTAAGAGGAGACTTAGTCGAGAGAAGCAGAAGAAGAAAAAGAAGAAGAAGGAGAAGAAGAAGAAGAAGAGAAGAAGAAGAAAAAGACTACAGAATTCGAGAGAAGACGGAAAAGAAGGAAGAGAACTATACCGAAATAAACGGAGGACGAACAAGCAATTGGCAGTGACGACGCCTAAAAGTTCAGATTAGACCAAACTTGTCGAAATGATGCTAGGAATCTCTACTAAACAGACTGAAATGTGTGAGTACATGTTTAGACGAATGGCTGAAGCCGCCTAAGCAAGAAGCCATGAACCGGCAGCAGGAGACCTTCATGAGACAGCAAGAATCAATCATGATGCAGCAAAAACAAAACTTAGACTAGCAACAACATATGAGTAAACCCTTGAACGACTTTTCAAATCTCTGCAAAACGACGTCTGTGGGTTTATTCCTGCACCGCACTAAGTTATTCATTAGTTTTTTACTCGATTATATGGGAAACCCAAAAAAGATTCTGGTGAATTTCGAATTTTCTGTTCAATTCTGTTCCTCACGTGCGCCGTTTTTTCCCTCTTGTACGCCGTTTTTATCCGTAGGTGCGCCGCCAGTTTACACATAGTTATATGATGTGAGTCAAATTAAGATCTAAGACTACTCTCTCAAATAAGAGATCGTGTGTAGCACTTTAGGGTCGAATTCCACAAAGCTCTCGTGTTCACACAATAGACTAACAGGTTTTGAATTAAGCTAAACAGAAAATATAAATATTAAAAATAAAAGAAAGCAATTAAATTCGTGTTTTAAAACAGATGAGGAAAACGTTAGGCTTAGGGATTTCTCAGGAAATAAACTAATAGTAAATCTAGCAAATTAATTAAGATTATTTAATGAACCGTTCTAGAACTCAAAACACTAATGAATAGCTAACCACATCTCGATGCACTAACTAACTAATCTAATATTAGTAATTCTACCTCTCGATGCGAATTCCTAGATCTAGACTAGCATTAAACTCAAGTTTGATATGTTCACCTTAGTAGATAGGCCGATTCTTATTACACACCTATAAACTAGACTCATCTAAGGTAGTTCCAATAACAGGTGCCCTCTCGGATCAAATACCTATTATCCTAAGATCAAATTCTAGGTGATCAAGCTAGAATTAGCATTAAGAACAACCTAGATGAAGAACTCTATAGATTAATCCTAACAGGTAATCGATTTACTAATTCATCTAAATTCCTAATGAGAATCCCTAACCCTAACAAGAAAACTACTCAAACATGGAGATTGAAGCAAACAACATGATTGTAGTAGAAATCAATAATGAATATAACAAGAAAATAGGGTTTAGAAAGATCTTCTCTAAAGGGAGTCTCCACAGGGTTTTGCTCCCAGATACAAAAGAGAAAAGGAGAATAGCCTCTCCAAGCTTAGGTCTAAACAATGACCTTAAAATTATATATATAAGTCTTAAAAACGTGTTGGGCCTTCTTTAAAAATAAGAGAAAGTCTGTAAATCTTCATAACTTCAATATGTTGCGTTTTTGAATTGCCGTCAGGTATTGGTGTTGCTCGACACCAGGGGTGGTGTCGATCGACACCTACGCGATTTTTAGTCTCCGGATTTCTTCTGCAGCATAAATTCTCTGTTTTCCTCCAGAATGCTCCATTATCTCCAAATGAATCCCAAACATGTAAAGACCTGAAAAGGACTAGAAAAGAGTCTAGAAATAACAAAAGGACTCTAAAACCTATACCTAAAACATAGTTAAAACCGGTTAAAATCGAGGTATATCATTATACACAAGAGAGTAGTTATACCCAAGTTCCACATAGTTCTACTTTTGTTGTATTCCATTAAGATTAGTATTACGTACCCTGAAAATTTATATTTCTAGTTGTACGATTGATTGAAATCGCTATCAATGTAATTCGGAATGTTTTACACATTCATATGTTTAAAACTTAGATTGTTGTAACATTTTCGTCTTAATTTGGTTAATACTAACAACGTGAGCTTTAAAGTATATGAATGTATTGTGTAGCTTCGCATTTTATTGTGTTTGCATGAGGATGAACTTTCACCATTTGTAATTTTACAAATCTAGCTATTGCAATGTTTACAAACCTAATGTATTGTTGTTATTAAACTTAATAAGAAAGAACATTATTAAACCTAGCTGTTTGTATTGTTTAGAAACCTATTGTACTGTTATGGCGGAGATGGACGAATAAAACACTTAGAATTAAACGTTTAGCCACTTGATTCAGTTTTACAACTAGGAAAGTAAGTAATCACTAGAGTTCATTTGTATGTTTAGATCTTATTTCTAGTATGAAACGCTGCCTTTCTTTGTTTGGTAGGAATTTTGTGTCGGCAGAACATCTGCGCATATGACATTACATATCGCTCTCCAAAAAGCAGAGATACATCAAAGGTATAAATCAAATATACCTTTTGATTTGAATTATATCTTATTTTCATTTTGGCAAATGCTTATCATGCTATAGAAAGAAAATAATAAAAAATTCTCGGAATGACCTTAAGTTTTGCATCTTCTGATTTTTTTTGATCAATCATTATCTACTTTTAATATTTTATGAAAATTATATATTTTTAATATTTTATGAATTGCAATAATTATTAAGTTTTATGAAATAGAAAATTTAAACATTTTTATCCCTAAGAACCGCAGTGAAACTACCATTGAAATATGAAAAATTAAAAACAAAACACACAAGTCTCATCTAACAATTTCAAAAACTTTATATTTGAACAACTGGTGAGAGCCCATGGGGGACTCTCACCAAAAAGATATCCCAGACAGCACATAAAGCTTTGCGATACACTCTGGAAAAGGATATTCTAGACGAAAATAACAAAGAAAAACAAAAATCAATTTGATTTCCCTTTCGGCCTCCACGTCATCTCTGCATATAGACTCCATCAAACTCTCCAGTTTCCCCTTAGCAAAGAGCAGGCTTTGCGGTAAACATTTTCAAGAAATCTCATTAGTTATCAGGCGATTTTGTCCGTATCCGTCGGAGTTGATAACTCTAGCTTCTACAAAACGATCTACAAGGTACTTGGTTAGCTTTCCCATGGAGCTCCTTGATTTGATCTTTTAGCTCTCTCCTAGTGTCTGTTAGCTCCCTTATGGCTTTGTCCTTCCATTTAGACCTCCTCTTGAGGTCTAACCAGCCATCTGATGCAGAATTGCTAGACTCTAGCTGCTTATCAAGCTGTTTGGTCGAGCTAGAGTTCTGCAGACGAGTTGAAGGCTTGCTCGAGTAGATACCCGAGTTAGTTGGTCGAGCATGATTTGAACTTGCTTCGTGTGTCACCATAACCTCTGTTTCTGACCCAAGCAAGCGTTTAAAGACCTCTGACCCTGCTAATGACTTATCACAGCTCAAGGTTTCAGTGAGAAGATATTGAGCTTCACCATTCTTGGTCAAAGAAGTTTGTTGGTGATCTTCCTCAGCAAGCTCCTCTAGTAGTTCATCAGCTAGGCGATCCATTACCTCAACTAAGAAGGTCTGTCCTTCAATTGTTGGCTTCCTCATAGCATCATTGATGTCAAACTTCATCTTGAAATCATTTCCCAGATTAAGATCAATCTTCCCATTCTTAACATCAATGATAGCTCCAGCAGTGGCTAAGAAGGGTCTTCCTAAGATCAAAGGATCTTTTGGTTCTTCATCCATCTCCAGCACTATGAAGTCTGTAGGCACTTCCACATTTCCAATCCGAATAGGTAAATCTTCTAATAGCCCATGAGGTAGTCTAAAAGACCTATCAGCCAAGATCAAGGAGATGTTGCAAGACTTGTACTTATTGAACCCTAGCCTCTTAGCTACTGAGAGAGGCATGAGACTTACTGAAGCTCCCAAATCACATAAGCATTTGCTGAAGACTAGTGGACCTAGAGAACAAGGAAAAGTGAATGAACCGGGGTCTCCTAGCTTCTTTGGTATGATCTTCTTCTGTATGATGGCACTGCACTCATGACTCAGCATAACCATCCCTTGCACTTCCTGAATTCTCTCCATTATCATGTCTTTCAGATACTTGTGAGAGTCTGGTATCAGCTTGAAAGCGTCAATGAGAGGCCTCTTAACTTCTAGCTCTTTGATGTTCCTACCAAACATTGCTCTGTACTTCTCAATGATGTCCTTCTTGAACCTTCCTGGAAATGGTATTTTAGGTTTGTAGGGTGGTGGGATGAAGACTTTCTTCTTACTCTTATCAACAACTGATTTTTTTATCTGGGGGTTCTTAGTTTGATCGCTAGGCATAGCATCTTGGTCGAGCTTAGTTGTGTCATCAACTTGAGTTCCATTTTGAATGAAATCCTCCCCTTCTTGAATCTCACTGTCCTCAGTGACAGGAGCTGTGCTAGGTCGAGCTTGCAGCTCGTGACCACTGCGAAGTTGAATGGCATTAACATACTCTTTCGGATTCTGAATAGCTTTCACTGGCAGTTGTCCTGAATTCTTAAGTGCAGAAGTAGAAGCTACTTGGCTCTCCATGTACTTCATCTTGGAGTTTAAAGCTTTAAACTTGATATTGAGATCATTGTATGAGCAGTCTACTTTGTTGTGAATCTCAGCCAGCTTCTTATCAAGAACCATAGCACCAGTTGCTTGACCTTGCAAAATCTGCTGAAGCATTTGTTTCATGTCGTGATCTTGTGCAGGTGGAGCTTGATGTGGTTGTTGTCCAAAACTAGGTGGTGGATTATGTTGTTGATAGCCTCCACTGAACTGCTGTTGTGAGAAAAATCCTTGATTGTATGTAACGAAAGGCTTGGACTGATTCTGTTGTTGTTGGGGGTAAACCTGATCTTGAGGGTTGGCAACATTTGTACTCCGATAGGATAAATTAGGATGAGCTAGCTTATAGGGGTTGTAGTCCTTGTTGTAAGCACCCTGGTTATGTATGTAGCTAACTTCCTCAGCTTGAGTAATCTCCCCTTCTTGAAGTTGATAGTGCTCTTCTTCAGTGATATAGTGGACTTGTTTCTGTTGAGTGAGCAGAAGTTTATCCAGCTTATCGTTGAGTGCCTTAATCTCCTTACTATGCTTCGCATCCGCATCTCCAAAACCTCTGTTGGAGCGATCAAAATCTTCTTTATAATTACCGTCGGACTGAGCCAAGTTCTCAACCAATATCCAGCCTTCTTCAACATCTTTATTTAAGAAATTCCCATTAGAAGCAGTGTCCAGCAACATTCTGATCTTGGGCAAAGCTCCTCTGTATAGTGTGATGAGTAAAGAAGCTTTCTTGAAACCGTGATGTGGACACTGTGTAGTGTAGCCCTTGAATCTCTCCCAGGCCTCACAAAAGGATTCAGACTGCTTCTGGGTAAAACTAGAGATTTCATTCCTTAGCCTTGCATTTTTTGAATTTGAGAAGAAATTTGCTAAGAAGGCTATCTTGCAATCATCCCAAGATGTAATGGAGTCTGGAGGCAATGTCTTATCCGATTGGTGTGCTTTGTCTCCTAGAGAGAAGGGAAACAGGCGCAGCTTGAAACCGTCTTCACTGACACCGTTTATCTTGGTTAGGCTGCAGAGCCTGTCAAAGTTATCCAAGTGGTCTAAGGGATCCTCCATAGGCAGCCCATGAAACTTATTTTCTTGTATCATTGAGATCAATCCACTCTTGATCTCGAAATTGTTGTTCTGGACATGCGGTGGAACGATGCCCTGTCTCAGTTCGTGGTTTCTTGGTGCATCCTAGCACCAATATTCCTTGGTATCCCAACTCCGTGATCGTTTTGATCTTGTGGTTCCATGGCAACTGGATTGTGCGGTTCACAATCGTCTCTGGCTCTACGTTCTCTTAACTCACGAACTAACCGATTGATGTTGTCTTTGTAGGTGATGAGGTTGTTAGAGCCTTTAGATCGAGTGTGCATACACAGTGACTAGTCTGGACGTCTGAACTCGAGGTGAGGTCGAGTAGAGTACCTAGAGCACAAAAACAAGCAGATGAAATGAAGAGTTAGTAACCAAAGTAAAGAGAAAGAACTTGATCTTAAACGTTTCTGAAATCTCAAATGGGACAATGCAACACAAGACTGGCAACGGCGCCAAATTGATAGTAAGATTTTACTCTATTCAAGTATCAATTCCTAATACACATGCCATTGTAGTATATTAGGTTTATCAATCCAATCTCAGTGTGACTGCAAGCATTCAAGATATGCACAGAAAGCAAATAAGTCAAGCTAATTGTGAAAGGGTTTTGTGTGTTTCTATTAATCCTAAGCAACCAATTAACATGCAAATACCGAATTCAAAAGCATAAGAAAGAGAACTAGACATCAAGTAATGAACTACAGACCAGGAACTATCATGCATAAGCTTTTAGAAAAGAGACTAACAACCTAACAATGCAGAGAAATGTGCTAGGCCTCACAAGTCGAGCAAGCAGGTCGAGTAGAGTAACAATGACAGACAGAAACGAGATTTAAGCAATCAAACAAGACAAGCTCTTAAGAATAGGGTTATTGGTTATAATGGATTCCTCAATCTCTTTAACTAGCTAACAGACTCAATCGAGCTATCCCTAGACAATAGATTCAAATACAAATCAATCCACTCTCGTGGCAGAGATCCTCAAGCTAAGTCACTTTCAAACTCAATTCTCATTGATGAAATATAACCTAGCAGGAATTAATATTCAATCTAATATAGTCAATAAACATTCTAAACATCCAATCTCTTGGGCTAGAGTATGTAAATCTCTGGAATAGTTGGTTCAAACATATCATCAAACACCTTGTGGGTGCGGAAATGTCTGAGATCAACTTCCAATTGATCAGAGAGGAAATAGCATTAGGAACTACTAAACCAGAAGGGAAATCATGCAGTTATACACTTAGCTAGTTAAAGAAACAGAGGATTCCACTAACAACATATCCCATCCTTAAGAACTTTGCGGAACTACTCAAGAACACTCAAGAACACCATAGCTAAAAACCAAGAAAATTGCACAAACCCAGAATTCATTGAAAATCAAGTATGTTATAGATAAGAGAAAGATCTACAACTTTGATGAAGAAACGAAATGCAAAAACTCAAAGATTCAATGGGAAAATCGATTACAAAAACTAGGGTTTAGAGCATGGTTCAGAATCTTCTTAAATGACTTTTTTTTACCCTAACTCGACCTCAGGTCGAGCTCACACGTCGAGCACACTCCCTGGTGACTTTGTGATGTCCTGCTCAAGCTTTGGTCTTCTTCCTTCCCTGCTCTGCGTCATGTAGAGCTTGTAAGTCTAGCACAGCTCCTTCTGCCTTCCTTTGCATTCCACATCGAGCTAGCAATCCTCTATCACTCCTTTGCTCCAATAAAAGGCTCAGAAGCACATGTTTTACCTGTAATCAACTCCATATGCAAGAATGTATGCTATGCTAATGCAGAATGCTCCAAGTGACAGAAAATGATGCAAAGTGACTAAAAATGACATGAAACAGAACCAAAACCAAGCTGAATGCGTAAGAAATGTATGCTAAAAAGAGGTAAAATACAGAGATATCACATAGTTAGATTATGTTAATGGGAATTAGTCTGGGCTAGCTTTGCCTGATGATTTCTATTACGATAGTCAATTGATCAGTTGTTGAAGTTGTTTTCTAGGGATAGCTTGATTACATTTTGTTAACCATCAGAATAGGCTAGGGAGACCACTCCATTCGATTACCCCATCCTTAGGAATTTCTCGTCTATTTGATTCATCGATTCACTTACTTGATTATTCGTCTGCTTTGTTACGTGCTGCTAAAGTTTACGTGATTATCAATGTTGTTGTAAGATTCACTCTTTCAGTGGAATCTTATTGATCATGATTCGATTTTTGTCCTTTTGAGTTTCCATTTGGATATACAGGGAACAAGTAAATACAAAGGTATGATTGAGGACTGTTGCTGTGATTATGAAATAGTGGACAATCTCAATAATGAGTTTTTGAATCCTTTGCTTCAAAGATCTCGTCACAACACCATTTTCTCGGTACTTTTAAGGTCAGTGAGATACTGTAGAATCCGATCATGTCGAAAAACTATGAAATTGTGTTCAGTGGTTTAGTACGTTAGTGACTTTTGGCTGGCTGTTTATTTGTATATGGGGGTAGGTTAAACTGTGGTGTGACTGCCCATTCTGGCCAGACGATGGAATGTGTCGTTTGCGTGATTGTAGTGTCTGTGAATGTCCAGAGAATGAGTTTCCAGAACCATTTAAAAAGCCATTTGTCCCAGGTCTTCCTTCTGATGATTTCACGTGTCAAGAGGGAAAACCTCAGGGAGCTGTTGACCGAACTATAGATAACAGAGTATTCAGAGGTTAGGTCGAAACCAAGAATCCATGGACGCATGACGATGACACAGATAGCGGTATGTAGTTACCAGAAATTTCTATAGTGAGTTCTTCTTTGACTATATGAGATAGTGAATGCTTATAAAAGGAGCATTTGATGATTTGAAATTGACTTATGTACAGGTGTGATGCCTTATGTCAATCTTCAGTTAAACCCCGAACGATATACTGGTTATACCGGACCTTCGGCTAGAAGGATTTGGGACTCTATAAATTCATAAAACTGTCCAAAATGTATGTTTTTCTTTCTCTACCATATTGGTAGTGTTTGAATTTGTATGGTGGTGATTTTATTACATTGCAAAAGTCTTGTAAGGTGATATATGTAAATGGTTTCTGCAGATTTATCTGGAGAGACATGTCCAGAGAAAAAGGTTTTGTACAAATTGATATCCGGTCTTCATTCTTCGATCTCGATGCACATAGCAGCAGAATATCTCCTTGATGAGTCAAGAAACCAGGTTTTTGTTTCTGAGCAAAAGATTGAAAAGTCTCTCAACATGAATATGTATATGGTATTGGCTGACATGTAATTTCTTTAAAGTAAAGTGGGGACAAAATATTGAACTGATGTATGATCGAATTCTGAGACATTCGGATCGTGTCAGAAATATGTACTTCACGTATCTCTTTGTGGTACGTGCTGTAACTAAAGTGAGTAACTTCCCTGCAAGTCGGTCTTTTGGGAATATTTTGACATTTCTCTCTGGATAATCAATATATTACTCTTTAGGACTAACTCTTAAAATGTTTTATTTAGGCAACATCATACTTGGAGCAGGCAGAGTATGACACAGGAAACCATGCTGAAGATCTGAAAACACAGTCCTTGATCAAACAGTAGTTTTATAGTCCGAAACTCCAAACAGCATGTCCTGTTCCGTTTGATGAAGCTAAGTTGTGGCAAGGTCAAAGGGGACCAGAACTAAAACAGCAGATAGAGAAACAATTCAGAAATATAAGGTTCGTCTCACTTTCTCTTGTTGGCAAATGTAGAGAGTGGTATAGTAATACAGCTTAGTAATGTATGTGATGTAGTGCACTGATGGATTGCGTAGCTTGTCAAAAATGCCGGCTTTGGGAGAAGCTTCAGGTTCAGGGTCTTGGTACATGATTGAAAATTCTTTTCTCTGCTGTAAACCAAGACTTTGGTGACCACCACACAGTGAGTTTCTCAAACATCTATATCCATAGATTTGTATTGGGGTGATGCTGATCTGAAATTATTCCTATCTTTCAGCTGCAACTACAACGGAACGAGGTGATTGCACTGGTGAATTTGCTCAACCATCTCTCTGAGTCGGTTAAGATGGTCCATGATATGGGACCTGATGTGGAGGGGCTAATGGAGGATCAGATAGCCAAAGTTTCAGCTAAACCCGGAAGATTAAGAAGAATATGGGATTTAGCTGTCTCCCTGTGGTGAGTTACACAACGAACTAGAAGTGACTACGCCTACTTTGTAGGAGAAATTGAAAATGGACTTTGCAAATTTATACAAGAAGTCTGAACAATTTAGGTAACTGGCACAATTCATTTAACATCTTTCTCATCAATCTCTTTCAACAGCCACTATAAAGTTTTTAAATCTAACTATATTGTATATCTATGCAGAGAAGTGGAAGCAAACATCAAGGAACTCATCCTTCCACCAGACGACTCAAATTAAACTAACCATCTCAAGGTGTTTTTAATATTTTAGCATTAGGGATTTTAGCTTACATGTTTCAATATGTGTGCTTATGGTTATTAGTTTATTTATTCTTTTTATGTCTTTAAGTTTGGCAGTTTTTTTTTTTTCTTAAGCTCATATCGTCTCTTTTATTTTTGTAAAAGACGTTATGACAGCTTTGGCTTTTACGTCAAGTTGTAGCGAGGAAGAGGTTGAGAGGTCGAGAGTGGCGGTGGGATGGCCTGAAGAAGACGGGGTTGAAGATATTTGGAAGAAATGAAATTAATTTTTTGGCTTGATGTTATTCCCGGAGAAAGAATTGAGTGGCAGAGATCGATAATAAGCATGATTGTTAAGGCTACTTCCTCCACAAGTAAGTTTAGAAAACAAATAGTCTGTTTTTTTCTCTTTTTATCAACCTATATAATCTGATTTACTTTTGAATTTATGATATTTACCAACGTACGTTGGGTGTGACTTTATCGTAACGTAAATTCTCTCATCTATCACACTTCTTTTTAATTATATGTCAAAAAGAAAAACAATTAGTATAACCCAAAAAAGGGTTTATACTTCATACGCGTCTTTCTCTTTTTGTGGTCTATGTTAGGGACGCTGGTAATGATTTCTCCTCGCGCTTGGTTTCTTCTTGTGCTGGAACCACTACCATTTTCTCTTATTTTTGTTTCCTCCAACGTAAGTTAGACATAATGGTAAATTGTGATGTTATGGTTTTATGAAGTACGGTCAAAAATTTAAATAACGTGTGGAATGTTGATGAATTTTTTTTTAATGATATTATGACTACACATCTGTTGACAATTTCATGTCAAGTGTAAGTATGAACCAAATTAAGAGGGGTATCAAAGGATTACAAATCCAACAAACAATGATTCCGTGAACTAAAGATATTCTTTTGCGGGCACTAAAGATATTGTTTGCGGACACAATAGATATTTTTTATCCACAAATAGATGTAATTGTGTTAGTTGGATGAATATTACGATTTTATTTTAAGATTTTGTTTGAATACAAGGATAAAGATTAGATGATTTGGATGATTTTAACTTTAATGTATTTTTGTTCTGTTCTTGATTACAATGGCAATTGATGTGATATTTTATATTTGAAGTCATTTATTTTATTTATTTTTACAGCAAAATAAAATCATCCATTTAAGCTAGAAACATGCGGTTTTTTACGGAAGAAAACCAGTCCGGTGTTGAGGAGCTTACATGAGGAAAAATAGAATCGCGTGCTCTTGTCTTCTTAGCGAGACAATCGGCACGGACATTTTTAAACGTGGAATAAAATCTAAGAAAAAACGAGAGAAACCAAGTTTTAAAGCATTATAATCTTCTAACTCCGAAGCAAAAGCGGGCCACTCATCCGGAGTGTCCAATAGCTGGGTCAGCTCCTTGCAATCTGTCTCAAAGGCAACATTAAAAATAGATAATGATGTGAGTAATCTCATTTCGCAGAGAAGCGCTTCAAACTCTGTGTGAAGTGGGGATAAACATTGTCGAAAACACTTGAGTCCAAGATTAATAAGCTGAGAGTCTGAGATAAGAATCCATCCAATGCCGCATAAAGTGCCTTCGCCTGTCCAAGATCCATCAACCTGGCAAGTCAAAAGATCTGAAACAGTGGATCGAGAACCTGGGTCTATAAGGGGCGGTTGAGAATCAATGATCGACTCTTTGGCTCTTGCGATGCGAAAGAAATCTGCTTCTTTGCAGGCAAGCTGAAGCGTATCTGCAGGGTGAACTTCTGAGTTCCCAAAAACTTTTGAGTTTTGTGCTTTCAAGATGAACCACAAGATCCATGGAAAGTCTCTGATAGCTTCCTCCATCACTCCAAGCTCCTTTGCTCTCTAGTAAAGATGGTCTAAGTTTGCGAATATTGAGGGAGCCGGAAAGACTCCTTGAATCAGAGGAATCTTGTAGAGAGACCAAACCTGGTAAGTTGGAGGGCATTCAAGTAACACATGCTTGATAGTCTCATCATACATCCCACATCGGGGGCACGTCTTATCAGTTCCTAAATATCGATCAACATGTCGTTGATAGGTGGCCAGACATCCCGTGGCAGTTTGCCAGAGAAAGTGTTTAATTTTTCTAGAGGATTGGATTTTCCATGATTGTGCCTGAAGTGCGCTAACACTGGGTCCCTGAAAAGGGAGGTCACAATCTCCTCGCGGGCTAGCTTTCGCTGCCCAGTAGCCGGATCTGACAGAGTAATTGTCAGATTTTGTATGAGCCCAAATGTAAGAATCTCTCGAGAATGAAAAACTCGGATGTAACCCCAAGATGCGGGGTATGTCTTCTGGTGCTATCAAATCCTGGAGCTTAGCCATGTTCCAAGTCTTAGAGATCGGGTCAATCAGCTCATTAACATAGAGGTTGCGATCAATGACTTCCTAAATCTAATTATTAGGACAATTCCGTCACTTGCTTGCACCCGCCTTCCATATTAACTAATTCGAATACATTATATGGGGATTATAGAGAATGACGTTGACGGTTCTGATATGCGTTTATTCATCTATATAAATATTTAATTATAAATTCGGATGCAAATTAATCATGTCCTTCGTAATCAAAGTAAATATGTATTGAAATAAAGTTATATATTTTGTAAAAAAGTCATTTGGATTGGATAACAGTTACTGTAAGTACGTTGCTAATTTGTTTTTCTTTTTTTAAATCTTTAAAATCGTTTAGTATTTAGAATAAAGAAGATTAAATATAGAGAAGAGAATATTCAACAGAAGTAGTTAAAGAGTTAGGTTAGTAAAAGAGGTTAAAAATTGAAATCTTCATTATTAAGAGAAACAGAGAGTAGAGTGGAAATATAAACCGAGTAAAAGACAGAAGAGAGATCCAAGTTCGCGGAATGTGTAATTAGGGTTTAAATCTATTGAGTAGGGTTTGATTTAATGAGTTGGGATCTTCTATCCATGAAGTTTTCCTTAGTGATCACATGGATTCAACTTGAAAGACCTTTAGTAATTTTTGTGATTGCTCTCCTTTTATAAGTTTTGTAATTGCTCTCATTGTTCTCGAATTCTGGATACATTAAAAGGGAAAGTAGTCCCAAATAAGGTTAGTGATAAAATCCAATGTTGTTTCAAAGTTTTTTTTTTTAAGTTTATTATTGTTTCAAATATATATATACTAGATAAGGACCCGTCCGATACACGGGTTTAATTTTTTTAAAATTAAAATCAAATTTAATAAAAAAAATAATTAATAACGTTTTAAGTAAAAATTATCTTTCAAAAGTAAGGAAAAAAGTATTTACTTTCACTGTTACATTGTTTCTTTAACCTCTAAAATTATTGATTCAAAAATTATTTCGAATGAAAAATATATCACATAGCAATAACTCATGGTATATTTTTATGAAGAACTAAAATTAAAAATATTCATCATAAAGTTGGCGAATGAAACCAAAGTGGTTTTTAATTAGACACGTTAAAAATATTTAGGATGATAAATCGACTAAATCCCTTAGCCTTCCAAGCTAACATTGCGGGTTTGATTCCTACATACTCGATTGCAATGACTTTATGATCAATCAATAAAAATTGATAAGGTCAAAAATTTATAAGCACGATTATATATGAATATTATTTAATTCAAATATGAACATAGAAATTTAAATAAACAATTGAAAATAGTATAATTAAATTTAAAATATCAAAAACAAAGAAGAAGCATATATGGTTCTTACGTATTCAAGATTTTCAAATAAATAATATAAAACTTTATTTATAATCATAATTAGAGAATAAAATTGATATAAATAATCTAAATTTGTAATTTCGCTATTTAAAATCATTAGAACTATGATATATGATAAATCTTATACAATTAAAACTGAAAGTAGAAACCAAAACAAATAATTTAAAGATACAACAATTAAACTAAAAATAAAAAAAAAATTTAAAAAGAAATATGATGATATATGAATTTTTGATAATTTAAATATAAAAAGTGAAATTGAAATAAACAATCTAACAATACTACAATCATAATTGAGGACAAACAAAAAACACAGTCAAGTAAAAAATAAAATTGATCTCTCATATTTCTAATTGAAAAAATAAACTCAAATAAATAATATGAGGATTAGTTTAATTAAATCATCACACATTTCTAATTGGAAAGGAAATTGAGATAAACAATATCAAATTTTAAATTAAAATCTTTGACTAATAACGGGTCATGATAATATTAATTACTAACTTTGAAAAACGTAAATATATCATATTAGTTATATAATAAGATATGTTTCCTTTTCAATAAAATTTTCTGAATTTTTTTCTTGTTTTAATTGAAATAATATATATATTTTTAGTTATAAAAACGTGTAATTTCCTTATATCTTTTGACATTTTTTAAATTTTTTATAGAAATATTAATTACTTACAATTATCCTTATAATTATGTTTTACATTTTAAAAATTTTTAAATTTATAATTACTTACAATTATCTTTTTATATTTTAAAAAGGAAAATTTTGTTTTACACATGTCAAATCTGAGATCGATAGATTTGCCATGTGTCACGATCATATGAGTTACTAACTTTGAAAACCATACTTTATATAATAAGATATATATATATATGGATTTGTTTATTTAACTCTTTTTTGTTTTTGTAAAAAATACAAGTTTGTTTATTGTCTTATTATTATAGATCTGTGCAAATTGATTCTCTGCTTTCTTCAAGCTTTTTCTTTTTCTCAAACGTAAATTAGAAGTAATGGTAAATTGTGTTGTTATAGTTTTACGAAGTACGATAGGAAATTTAAATAAAATGCAGAATGTGGATCAAATTCTTTTAATGACATTATGCTTACACATTCGTTTACAATTTCATGTCAAGTGAAAGTATGAACCAAATTAAGAGGACTATCAAAGGATTAGAAATCCAACATGCAATGATTCCGTGGTAAATCTTGCGTGCACTAAAGATATTTTTACCCACAACTAGATATCATTGTGTTTGGTTGGATGAATAGTAAGATTTTATAATGAGATTTTGTTTGAATACAAAGATAAAGATTAGATGAATTAGATGTTTTTAACTTTATTATATATTTTTTTTTGTTCTTGATTACAATGGCAATTGATGTAGTATTTTATATCTGAAGTCATTTTTAAAATTTACTTCCCAAACATAATTATTGTGACAAGTCCGTCATACACTTGCACCCGCCTTTCATCTATACTATTAATTGGGAAGCATTGGATAATAACTAACCTTATGAAGGGTAAAGAATTACAAAAATTGCCATTGTGATTTTTTCATTCTAAGAATAATTTAAAGATTTCGTTGAAGGGCAAAATGG